ATACTTCTGTTATGTCTCGCAATCGGCGTTCCATTACCCTCTCCCACACTTTCATTATATGACACATTAGCTTAATTCCTCTATAGTTGTTACAATTCTGGATATCACCTTTATTCTTATAGATTGGCACTAAAATACTCTTCCTCCAGTCATCTGGCATATTCCTAGTCAACAAATTTTTGCTAAACAACCTAGTCAACCAAGCAACTCCCTTTTTACCCAAACATTTTCAAACTTCAATAGGGATATCATCGTGTCCTAAAGTCTTATTCGATTTCATCTTCTTAAGTGCAATCTCCACTTCAAAGTTCTTAATCCTACAATAGAACATGTAGTCTTGATTTTCCTTATTACTGCCTAATTCCTCCCCTTTTGACCTAACTCCATGTCCTTCATTTAACAACTTCTCAAAATAGTTCTTTCATCTCTCCTTATCCTTCACCAACAAACTTGGATCTTACAATTTTATATGACGTTTGAAAAAGAAAACGCTCACTTTTACCAATAAACAAACTTTTTTAGCTTCTCAGAAGAATGGGAGATAAAAATTTTAAGTGCATTTCTCATAAATCCCATTTAATTTGAAGTACATTTCTAAATTATTTACAACATGTTATCTAAGAATATTATACAACATGCGATATATTTAAGTGTTTAAGACGTGTCCCCATACCCATACTTGACTTTGGAAGCATATCCCAGTATCCTAAAATTTACGTTTAGGAAGATCTGACACTTGAACACACCCCCACAACCGATATTCATACCCAAGTCCATGTAACATAGACGACTAATCTAAGGTCAATAATGCAACACAACAGCTGACTAGCTACAAAGCAATTCACAACACCAAAGGAGATCAATGAGAATATCAGCTATAACTCAGGGATGGTGATAGACAAATGAACTGGGTAATATCTTCAACAATGGGTTGTTGGCGATTATTGAAGGGTATAATGGTAGGTGATGTATAGGCAAGTAGCAACTTCAATGCAGCAAGGCTAGAATCTTTGTGAGGCTCCTTAGGTGCATGAACACTTCAGCGAAGGATGCATGTTGTATCTGACACTAACACTCTTTGGACACTCCTAAAAATGTGTCCAACACTTCTTCAACGTGTCTTACTTTTAAAAATCAAATTCATAATATTAGACACTTCATGACCCCTTTCTGGCCAAAACACATTCTATGTGATGAATCCCTTCATAGAATAATGTTAAGCATTTTTCCAAACACAACTTATGCACTCCAAATATGCTTTTAAACATTTTATAAGATGAACACATCATATTTATTACAACATTTTATAATTGTTTTGCATTATTTATGATGTAAATTTTATGTGAATGATATATTGATGTTTAAGTTATGAAAGATATGATTTTTTTAATGTAATTAGTGTTATGTTTCATTTTTTTCATCATCTTTGAATGAATTACTCATATATATCACATATAATAAATTTGTAAACCAAACCAAACCAAACCAAGCTAAGCCTTAAGTCCCATCAAATGGGGTTGGCTACATGAATCCTTCTTCTCCACTCGACTCTATCAACGGCCATTTCGTTAGTCAAATTAAGAAAATTCATATATCTATTTACTACACTAGCCCACGTCAATCTAGATCTACCCCTTCCTCTAACACTTCCATCTACCATCACTGTATCACATCTCTTCACTACTACTTTTGTTGGTCTCCATTGTATATGACCAAACCATCTTAATCTATTCTCTCTCAACTTATCTACAATCGATACTACTCCTACCCATTCACAAATATACTCATTCCTAACTCTGTCTTTTCTAGTCTTGCCACACATCCACCTTAACATTCTAATCTTAGCAACACTCATCTTATCTACATGTTGTTTCTTAGTTGCCTAACATGCCGTCTCATACAACATCGCTAGTCTAATAACCGTTCTATAAAACTTTCTTTTTAGTCTAGTGGATACTTGTTTATCGCACAGTACCCCAAACGCACTCCTCCACTTAAGCCACCCCACCTTAATTCTATAGACCATATCCGCTCCAATCTCCCCAGCTGTTATGATAATTGATCCTAAATAATGAAAATGTTCACTCTTAGGCAAAAATATAATAAATTTGTAAAAATATAAAATTTTAACGTGTCTCAAGTATGTCATATCCTACATTTTTTTAAAAAAATTGATGTGTCAACATGTCCATGTCTATGCTACTTAGTGAGGCTCTAATACCAAATTGATGTAAAACGACAAGGGAGAATAAGATAGAGAATGGGAGAGAAAAACACACAAGGGCGACCAACCACATCGCACAAAGGTCACAGCCTTAAACAACTCAAAACCACCCTAATACAATGCCAAAGCCTTTATCAATCAGCTAACTACCCTAGTAAAATAAGAAACTAGAAACCCAAATAAAATAGGAAGAAGAAGAAACTAAATATTAAATAATAAAGAATATTAATTAATAAAATTGTAAATTAAGCCTCCAAGTGGTGAAAATTTGCTGCATGAGAGCTGAATATTGGACATCTACGTTCTGTATCAATATGTCACCTCAGTGATAACTCCATAAAATGACTGGAACATTTAAAACCAACAGCATGAATCCAATGTATTCCATATTTAAAAAGAGAGGAAAAGAAAATTGAAAGATCTAAATGGACAAAATGAATAGCAGCAGTTAGTCATCACTTAATCCAAAAATATTTTTGCACTAGGGGAAAAAAGAACAGTTCAAAAGCAAAAGTAATAAGATATGAAAGATAACAACAACAATAGTGGTACTTATGTTCTTGACATTGGTCACAATAAGATTTTTCTTTTTTTTTTCTTTTTTTTTATAGGCAAATAATACTAGATAGTAATGATAATAATATTGTATTTTTTGGACTTCATGTCCTCCTGCCTTGTTCTCTTTTGTACTTCATTTTTATTTTCAAAAAAAAAATCTCTTTGTGGCTCATCAAAAATAAAAATAAAAATAAAAATATAATAATATTGATTACCCACCTTTGCTCTTTTCCGAAATATATCAGCTACCTCAGGATTTGCGATCATATCTACATACCTAAACAAATAACATAACAAGACACTGTCAAAATCAACGATAAGCCATTTTACATAACCCATATTAGCTTTAAAAACTGAATCTAGAGGCGAAGTATGGAAAATGGTAGGACATATTCATGACTTGGGAGCTATTCACCTATATAAGGTGTTTGACAATTTTATAATGGGAGAAACGCCAGTCAATACAACTTGCTCCATACAATGTTACAAACACATGCAAGCGCTAGGGCTCATAGACACTTCCCAAACAAATAAAGAAAGCTATTCAGAAACAAAATTAAATTTCAGTTGTTGAGAATCTTATATAGTTGTCTCCAAGAATGAACAGTTGAGCTCATGACAAAACATTTAATTTCATCACAAGAGAAGAGCTAGAACTAGCATCATGAATTGCACAAGAAAACCCGACTTACAAAATTGCTAAATGCATGCTCCCTATTCAACTTTGAATTAAGAAAGCATAGGCACCCTGCAGTAGCTTGGAAACCTGACTTCCACTTTATTTTTATTTGCTTGTCCAAAAAAGAAATCAATCATTTTTAATAGTGTTTTGTTAACAAGTGTTCTAAGGGCATTGATTAACAAAGCATAAAATAGTTGTACATTCTATATAACACGCACTTTTATGCAGAGTGTACAATCAATTTTAACTTCTTAACAAGTACCCTAAGGGCACTCATTAATAAAATCCTTTTTTAAGTTCACTAAATACAAGTACAATGGGAGAGTGAGCAAGCTAGTCTCCCCACAAGATGATCAACTAAATGCTAAGAGTAGACTGCTTCACTTTTAGTCACTTTTGCCCTAGAATTTGCATGCCACTGCTCAGAATTCAGTCTGTGAATTCAACTGGTGCTGACTTTAGACATTCAGCATATTTTTCCAATGATCAAGGCATTCAAGCATTGGATCAAATTGTTGGTTTATGGGAAGCAATAGAACCATTACACTATCTATGACTATTAGGGATCTAGGAAGCACGGATACAGATACGAGATACGGCGATACGCCAAAATTTGAAAAAGTAGGATACAGGTACGGTGGAGATACGTTCGTAAAAAAATACATATATTTTTTATAATTTTAATAATGTAATATGCATGAAAATAAAACCTAAAGCAAATTAATAAATAAAGAGAAGAATTCCTATTAAATAAAGAAATATTAACATCAAAGTTCGTAAAATTAAAAATGTGGTAGAGAAATACTTACATTAAAATAGTGTAGAAAAAATAAATAAAGTAGCTAATAGATAAGGGGGGGAAAAAAGAAGAAGACGAAGAAGACAAAGAAGAATGAGAGCAGAGAGTATTGACTATTGAAAAAAATTTAAATATAAAATAATAAAAAATTGGAAAAAAAAAATTGTATACTTATTTGCCATATTAAAATATAAAAAATTAGAAGAAAAAATTGGATACTTATTTCGCATATCCCTCACGTATCCTGCCGGATCCCTCAAGTATCCTTCCCGTATCTGAAATTTAAAAAAAAAAAATCAAAAAAAAAAATCGGATACTTATTTGCCGTATCCGATACATATTCCGCCGTATCGGATGCCCGATACATATCCAATACTCGTACGGCACCTTTTTTGAAGTATTTGTTCTTCATAGTTGGGGATTCATGTTTTATTTAAGAAAATATTGAGCATGATGCTCTGCCAATACACCAAATCTCAAGTTGTACCCAGCTCAGTAGCAAGCAAATCATCAAGTACCTAGAGCTAAACATTTTTCTTCCATTGCCTTTAAAATAAAATAAAATAAAGGTATGGAGCGAGAAAATGTTGGTTTGCAGAAATAACAGAATAGCCTAGAGGAAAGAGAGATGCAACTCTCCCCAGAGGAGCTAGTTAAGACTTGATGCTCCAACAATAATTATATTAGGTTTAAAACAGCCCACTAGACTAGAACCTCATTATACCAATTTGAATAAGAAGAGTTATATTTGCAATTTGTCTTAAATAAAGAAATCCTAAGAGTCTAAGATGGAAAAAATTGTATGAGAAGGCTAACATGTGATGCGTACAAATCAGATTACCAGTACTCTGAACAGCCGTAAGCAAAATCAAGTAAGTAACTAACTAGATAAATACATTAAAGAAGAAATGGACTATTTGAGGCTGCATATCCAGAAAATAAATCCCTATCCCCACACTCAAGATCAAAAATAAATAAATAAATAATTACCCAAGAATAAGATAATTCATATATCTCAATCACAATGATCCATTCAGTCTCATTTATTATGAAACGGCAATGAACTACAATGCCATACATGCCCTCAAGAAAGTAATTTTAGTGATAAGACTTGTACAAATATGCTATTAAAACAATTCCCTAAACGTAATTTGACACTACTACAATATTGGTAATTTAAAAAAAAAAAAAATTTTGATAAATTATAATATTGGTAATTTAATTAGACATATCAAAAAAAAAGATATAGGTGATTTATCAGTGGATATATCATTTACAAGACTCTGATGGTAGTATATCCATCCAGCTTTGGCAAATAATGACTCACTGCTCACTGTCAATGTAAACTACTACAATTCTAATTGATGTTGTGGATATGTTCAAAAATAATAATTGATGTTGCGGATATTGTTCCATACTGGCAGCTGGCCGGTAAGTATCATTCCTGAAAAAAAAAAAAAAAAAAAAAAAGGGATAGTAATTTTGTAATACCTTATCGCCTATATTTTCAGCTAGTTCCAGAGTTTTCGTTCTTACCGAAAAATACCAATCAAAATTGTGAATACTGGCAACAAGCCTGGTACGGAAAAACCCTCTTCTGTCAGCATAGAACTCGTTGACAAAAGAATACAGAAATCTTATTTTGTGAAGGGCGGCATTTACCTCTTTCCTCTTTCACTTGCATGATTTGCTACTCCAAATTTCCAAAATCTTCTTCAGCCTTATTAGTCTCAAGAAGTACCTCTCTCTATCTATCTCTCTCAGTAGTTCAGTGTCCTGATCTATGTTTTCCATCTTTCACTTGCATGGTTTGTTCTATATTTTGGATTTATGTTTTTTCTCATCCCTTTGGCACAGCATGCAAACCAGCAAACTGCATCTGTTTTTCTTTTCCTTTCTTGGGTTTTTTTTAGCTTGTCTATGAATAGAAAAGAAAAATCATGCATATATACTATTTATGCGTGATATAAAATGCCCACTAATATTGGCTGGCTTTTATTATTTTTCTTCTTTTTTTTTTTTTTTTGAGAAATGCCATTGCTTCTTGGTATACTGCCAGAAACTTGCAATTACTAGTCTGCTGCTCTTTGGATTGACAAACAGAAGTCACTTTACCTAGGTGCCATTTGGTAACGTTTACAATTTACTCTGTTTAGTTTACAAAAAATATTAAACATGTTTATATTTATTTTTGGAAAAAACAAAAACAGAAACATGTTTACAAAAACATGTTTGGTACACACGTGTTTTAATTATATGTTTTGAAAACAAGTGAAAAGTATAGCCCCTTTATTTCAGATACGTTTTTGAGGTGGAGCTTAGCTTATCATAGAAATCTTGACGTTCATAATTGCTTTTCGTTAGTGCTTTTGACCCTTATAATAGACCTTGCTTTGCATCTTTTTTTTGGGGAATAAATTAGCTTAATGTTCTTGGATGATGCTAATACATACTTTTGTTTGATTAACATATTATGCTAAAATTATTTGGTATTGGGTAATATTTTTATATATTATAATAGGCCTTGCTTTTTATCTCTTGTTTTGGGAATAAATTAGCTTAATGTTCTTGGATGAATGCTAATACATACTTTTGTTTGATTAACATAATATGCTAAAATTATTTGGTATTGGGTAATATTTTTATATATTATAATAGACCTTGCTTTTTATCTCTTGTTTTGGGAATAAATTAGCTTAATGTTCTTGGATGAATGCTAATACATACTTCTGTTTGATAACATGGTATGCTAAAATTATTTGGTATTGGGTAATATTTTTAATAAATATATAATATTTGTAAGGATAAATCTGAAACAGTACCCAAAAACACACCGTTACTAATGGGAAAAGAAAAGGAAGAAAAAAAAAGGTATTGTGTCAGTTATGGGAATGATGTTGGAATGTGTCCCACATCGCCTGGAGTTGCCCCATCTGTGTTGATTATAAGGCTCCAGTTTCCCTCTCCTTAATACCTGGGTTTTAAGAATAAGTGTGGACTGGGCTTTTCAATTTGGTATCAAAGCTTGGTTGGGCCTGTGATTGGTATGCCGTTTGTCCGGCTACTGTATGTTGTGGTCCAGGTGGGTGTGTTAAAATGTGTCCCACATCGCCTAGAGTTGCCTTATAAGGCTCTAGTTTCTCTCTCCTTAATACCTGAGTTTTAAGGAAAAGTGTGGGTTGGGCTTTTCAATTGACAACTTTGGTTCTAATCAATATTTTCTATTTTCATTAATGTTATCTTATGAAATAAGTGAAAAGAGATTACAAAAACTTGAAAGAAAAAAAGATAGAGAACTATTTATATATATAAATAAAACTCGGAAAAAACAAACTTCTGCAGGAAGGTTTTACACCCATGCAAATAAAAATTATTCTTTCGAGGACAATTATAAAAAACTATTTCAGATTCAAATGTCTTGTCTATGTTACCAAGTCCAGTGGATTCCTACATCAATATCATTGCAATGTCTCATCATGTTATACATGGATGTCTGACAATGAAAAAAGAGAAACTATGAACTCACCGTTGGCGGTAGCGCTTATCCACATCAGTTAGACCATGATACTTGTCTGGCAGTGGTAGTAGAGACTTTGAAAGAATTGAAAATGAATTCAAATTAACTGAAAGCTCCCCTGAAAAGCAAATTAAGGAATAAAATGGTCACCAAGGCTGTGTTAGGCTCATCAGGTCACATCCATTTAAATCAGGGGGGGGAAACAAAATAGGCCAGAGTTCGTCCACAGTCGGAACTCAAAAATTCTCCTTGTACAGAATTTTGCACTTATTCATGTTAAAGCATTTCAAGGAAAGGACTAATTAATGAAGCCCATAAACTAGGCATTGAGGTTTCTAGCTTGCTTGTTTTGTGATTAGGGGATACTGCTATGGAAGCTATTTTTCTAATTCTGAGACTAATGAAAAATACAAGAAAAAGAACAAGTACCTTCATATGATTTTTACAGATTTAAAAAAATTAAAAATAAAAATTAGAAGAAAAAATATAATAAAATACACACATGCTAAGATTCCTAGAAAAAAAAAATGTGCAAAGTTTTGGAAAAGGAGTATCATTGTACCAGCTAGATATATTGATGTAATTAAAGACAAGTACGATTGAGCCATGACTGGTGTCAAAATACTAAGGAGAGAAACAATTGAATTTCCAATAGCAATAGGTTTTACATCAAGGATCAATTGTAAGTCCTTACCCTTTTGCATTAATTGTAGATGAACTAACTAGGGACATTCAGTGGATATCTCATGCATATGTTATTTCTAAACAATAACTTAGTTGATGAAACAAAAGAAAAGGTAAACTTTAAGCTTAAATTGTGGAGAATATTTTACAATCTAGTGAATTTAGGCTAAGTAATACAAACTAAAAACAACGCCGCCCAATTAATACACATTAATGTATGTTTGGGAGGAGAAAGATTGGGTACACACCTAACCTTTGGCATAGTGCACAAAGTGGTTGTCCCGTGACTTGAACCCATAACCTCAAGGTTATTAGGCCAAGGTTTTTACCATTGAACCAATGGACAACCTACAGAAACTATTCAGGACATTTTAAAGAAGGTGGAGGTTTTTACAGAATTGCACCATACTAAGACAAATTACATAAGTGTGTAACTTTGGCAAAAATATAAATAGGGATGAAAATGGAGTAAAAAAATTATGGGCATGAGCTAACTAAGAGTAACCATTTTCAATATCTTGGTCAGTTATTCATAAAAATTGAGAGATTGAAGACGTAGCGTGGGAAGTGCGATATTCTGGACAATTTGGTTGGAAAGAAATGCAAGGATTTTTTAAGATAAATTTAGAAATTTGGATTCTATGAGGGTTAAAGTTTGTAGTTTGGCATCTTTTTGGGTTTTGGTGGCCCCTCCATTTAGAGGGATTCCACTATTTTTTATTTCTAGAGATTGGAAGATGGCATGCGACACAGTCTTTTGTATCTGTTTGTTTTGGTGGACTTTTATTTGCTTCTTTGTGTAATCAAGGAGGACTCCTCATCGTCCCTTGCACTTCTCTTTTTCTTTTTAATAAAACTTCTTTCATTGCTGATCCAAAAATAATAATTTAAGGAGATGCACCAAATGGTTTTGTAATCGTAGAATTCTTATTTAAGTTGGATGGAAAAAAATTAATAGGACTGCTATAAGACTTGTTAAGATATATGGTAATATTGGGTAGTTAAGGAAAAAAAAAACATGTTCAAAAAATGAGTGCTAGTGAAATGAGAATGCTGAAATGGATGAGCCAAGTTACAAGAGAAGATAAAATAAGAAATAAATCAATTAGGAAGTTATAAGTGCTTCCAATTAAAGATAAGATGAGGGAATGCCATTTGAGATGCTATTTTTGTGCATTGCAGACTAACCAATGTGCCTGTAAGGATGAGTGATTTGATCCATAAAGAGGGTAGTAAAAGAAATAAAGAATGGCCTAGGAGACTTGGTTTGAGTTGAAAAGAAAATATGTGACTATCTTAAATTTAACTAAGAATATTAGCAATTAGAACCAATTGGAGGAAATGGATCCATGTAGCCACCCCAACTAATTGAGTCAAACGCTGCATGTGTTTCTTTTCCATTGAAATAACCAAAACATTTTTGTTTTTGTGGAAAACTAACATGAAAGGAAATTGAAAAAACAAAATTCCAATGTTTCCCCATAGATTCACCGAAACGCACTCAAAAAATATTGAAAGAATGGTAGTTTGACCGAGCACAAAATTTCAAGAAACATGACAAGAAAATGTTCCATCATTGGACAACGCACACAGCAGTTAATGAGATAAGATTATTTTAGCATAAGTCTTCTTGAGCAAGACAGGGTTAGCAAGGAGGATGAGTTCCTAAGTTACAAAAGAAAGCTACACCTTGCAACCTAATTGTTCCACAAGGTACAAATACATGATCCACCTTCCCATTCTAAGTAGTTGAATAGAATTTATACCATGCATGAAGTGCAGTCTGAAAAATTCAGAGTAAGACATGATTCCTGGAGAGTTATTTCCAGTACAGTTCATTTCCTAGGATCTGTAAGCTTTTTAAAGAAGACAGTCAAAAAGGTCACATTGCTTCCTCTCTTTTGGTCTTCCTTGGGTGCGCATTGTTCAACTACTCCCCTCCTACATTTATCCCCCTCCGTTTAAGTTCATTCATTTACCTAACAAAAATAAAATAAAATCATGTGTCAAGTGAGTAACTCCTAACTAGTGGTCTGCCTATTGTCAAGTTATTTGGTTTTCATTGGAGGATCTAAGAATTGGCACCAGGAAGATCAATGATTCTAGCCATAAGCATGGAACTCTATCCAAACCTCATGTGTTTTGAGAGATTCCGAATGAAGAAGGTTGGAACTTTTGGCAGTCAGAATTAAAAGAAAAGCCATTTCATTTTGTGTCCTCAATTACCTAACAGATGATGCAAAAAACTACACACATGCTTTAAGCTGCCAAAAGTATACTTCTTTCTTTGCACAATAAGCTACTGAAAAGAAGTAAACAATAACAAAGTGACAAAATATCTATCTTCCAGATTTCTCCCAATTTATAGGTTAAGGAAAGCTCTCCTTTGAGAACAGGCTATTTTGGTAACTTTTTGGCTTTTTACAAAAAAATGTGCAAAAAAGTAGAGAGAGTGATGTGACAACTTATAGTGGCTTTTTGACTTTTTGGCTAAAACTGAAAGTTGCAACTAATATAAACTTGGACAGTTGAAAAGTTACCCTTCTCTGTACGCTTTATTGATCCACTTGCACCAAGTATATCACCAACATCAACAAGTGTCTTTAACTGTTCAAATTGATCATGTTCAAGCCTTTCCTTCTCACAATAAAGCTTAAACCAAAAATTGATAATTTCAGTGTAATGCTATAGGAGAATTCCACATAAAAAAACACACTCAAGAAAAGCAAAAAACAAAAACAAACCCAAGAAGAAATCAATATATAGATGAATTAGGTCATGGCTGAGGTAATTGTACTAAATTTAAATGACAATAACCAAATAAGTAAACTTATTTCTTATCCCCTCACAGTCCAAGTCAAATGAGCAAGCTTTTATACGAAGTAATCTGTTAGCCTGTCTATAGATGATCCCTGTTCATTGCTTCATCCTAAGCAATAAATTCCATATATCTCAATCATTCATTGGGCAATTAAAAACATTAGAGTAAGTTGAATAAAATTATTAAAGTTTACATATATGTATATACATATAAATATATATTATGCGACCAATATCATAATGCATCTAGTAAAGAGCTTTGACCACTAAACCCATTTCAAGTCACAATTAGAATTCTTAAAGAAGACTAAGGTAGTGTTTGATAACCCAATTCAGCACTTAGAACTTAATCTTCTAAATTAGAATCAATTAAACATGTTCGATAATCATAATTAGTATCACTTAAAAATTTAAGTGACTCTTAAAATGAAAGCTAAAAGGTAAGAAAAGTTTAAGAAATAGGATTCTTACTTAATGTCGATTGATTTATAACTACTTATGCATAAGTATCAACATGTATCGTTTTGATCTCACCACCTCAACCATCACCACTACTACTACACCCCCATAACCGCCGCCACCGCCGCCGCCGCCGCTATTGCTATGGTTATGACCATCGCCACTACTAACACCATTGCCACCACAAGCACCACCATCATTTCATTACCACCACACCAGCATCATGATCGTTGCTACCGCTACCACAGCCATGACTATCACAACCCTCTACCTCCACCACCATTGCCAACCATCTTTCCACCACCACGATCACCACCTCTACTACACCATCCCTCCCTCTCTACCTCCACTACACCACCGCTTCACCATCACCAAAACCACTATCCCTCCTCCACACCGTTGGCACCATAGCCACCACTGTCACCGCCACAGCGACCACCTCACCACCACAATATAAAAATTGGAACAAAAAATTTGAAAATAACAAATTTCAAATTTCATCTTGTGAGTATAAAATAACTTATTTTAGTTCAGCACTTAAAACAATTATCAAACAATTTTTTAGCTTAAAAAATTCATAATTCAATTTTTAAAACTTATTTTTCAACTTTTAGTTTTATCAAACACCGCCTAAATTACTGAACAGTCCTATTTCATGAACTTATCTGAGGTTAAGTGGTTGTTTGGCAACAGCTTTTTAGCCACATTTCTTACCAAACATTTTTTACTTTAGTAAACCTTTTTTAAATTTTGTCAGAAAATTTACTTTTTAGATCCTTCTCAACTAAAAGGCCTTAAAAAAAAAAGTTTAAATAGATCAAATTTGAAAAAAAGTTCACAAAAGACACAAAGAAAAGTCAAAATTAAGTAGGTGTTTGGGTAAACCTAAAAAAGGCAAAAAGTTATTAAAAAGACCAAAAAGTTATCATTATTCACCAAAAAAGTGCCCAAAAAAAAAATACCAGCCAAAATTGTACCCTCCGGTGATGGTACAAGCTAATGTGTGGGCCGGTGGGGTACTTTGCATATATCTTATGAAAAAATTAGATATATATATTCATCGAATTGGAGGGTACTGTAGGGCCTATGGGCGCCATCACGGATCTTGTTTTGATAATCCGAACAGTTCAATGTATAAAACTCGTTAAGTATCATATGCCTGTAAAAAATCACGTTGATCGAATATCGATAGCTATGTGATCAAATCAGATTTTTGTCAGCCGTTTATTTTTCACCATCCATTTTTTTCCATACAAAACTGATTTGATCAAATAGCTATCGATATCCGATTAACGTGATTTTTTACAAACACATAGTACTCGACGAGTTTTACACATTGATCGGTTCAAATTATCGAAACAAGACCCGTGGTGGGCCCCCACGGGCCCAACAGTGACTGGAGGGAAGCCTCATCCTATATATATATCTTCGCAAGGCACCATCTCATTTAAAAGCAATTCGTACGATTCCTTCAGTGTCACTGTCAGTACGCATAGACCATAGGGGTAATACGGTAATTTTGCTATTTTATACAATATTTTATACACAATTTTTTGTAAAAAGTCAAAAGGTTATTCCAAACAATCATCTTTTTTTCCTCTACTTTTTTATCTAAAAAGTCAAAAAGTGCACTTATATAGTTCATCCCAAACAACCCCCAACTTTCTTTTGTCTTTTGTGTGTTTTGTGAACTTTTCTCAAATTTGGCCGATTTTTTAAAATTAGTAAGGTCGTCTAATCTAATAGGACCTAAAAAATAAAAATAATTTAAATTTTTATAAACAAAATTGCCCAAAAAATATTTGCCAAACCTCTACTAAGTCCCACCATAAGTTTTTAACACTTAAAAATAGGATTAGATGACCAAACTAAGAGGGATTTTTGGGAGCAAATGAATGAGATCTTATAGGAGATACCAGTAAGAGAGAACTTAGTTATAGGTGGAGATTTTAATGACTATGTAGGCATAGATAAACTAGGCTATGAAAGGGTGCATGGTGGATACGGTTTTGGTGATAGAAATGAGGCTGGAGAGAGTATCTTAGATTTTGTGTAGACTTCTGACTTGGTGGTAGGGCTGCAAACGAACCGAGTCGAGCCGAGCTTTGATGAGCTCGAGCTCGACTCGTTTACTTATCGAGCTCGTTTATTGAGCTCGAGCTCGGCTCGATAAGGAACTGGGCTCGAGCTCTGCTTGGCTCGTTAATTTTAATGAAACTCTGAGCTCGGCTCGGCTCGATAATGTTTTTTTAATATTATTCATATTATTTAAATATAAATATTTAAATAAAAAATATTATTTATATATTTTTAATATATAAATAATGTATTTATATATATTTATATATTATTTAATATATAAATAATATATTTATTATATAATTTAAATAAAGATACAACGAGCCGAGCTTAACGAGCCGAGCCTCAATGCGAGCTCAACTCGCTCGTTTACTAAACGAGCCTAATATTCGAGCTCGAGCTCAGCTCGTTTACTAAACGAGCTGAGTCGAGCCGAATCGAGCTTGTTCATGAACAGCTCGGTTCATTTGCAGCCCTACTTGGTGGTGGCCAATACTATGTATAAGAAGAGAGGAGCATTTGATAACCTTTAAAAACCGGTCAATTAAGAGCCAAATAGATTACTTTTTAGTGAGAAAAGTGGACCGCTTAAAATACAGTGATTGTAAGGTGATTCCTGGAGAGAGCCTGGCCTCTCAACTTAGGATTTTGGTACTAGATTTATATTTTAAAGGGCAATACCAAGCTAGAAAGGATGGTAGGTGTCGTAGGACAAGATGGTGAGACCTAAAAGGGGATAAACTATAAATATTTAAGAATAAAATGGATAAGGAAGGTACTTGAGATTTGGAAGATGATGTTAACACTATGTGTAACTAGATGGCCAATTGTATGAGGAGAATATCAAGGGAAGTGCTTGGAGAGTAGAAAGGAACAGGACCCAGCTCTACGGAAACTTGGTGGTGAAGGGAAGAGATTCAAGCAGTAGTTAAGGCAAAAAAAAGAGTGCTTTAAAAGTGGCAGAAGGATAGAACCGGGGAAAACCTTAAGAGCTATTATACACTAGACTAGATAGTAAGGAGGGAGAAAAGAGAGTATACAAAATTGCTAAGATACGGGAGAGGAACACAAGAGATTTTAATCAGGTTAAGTTCATCAAGAGTGAGGATTTTAAGGTGTTGGTGAAGGATGAAGAGATTAAGGAGAGATGGAAGAACTATTTTGAGAAACTATTAAATGAAGAACATGGAGGAACGTCAATAGGGGAAAAAATAGCCAGTAATACGAAATAAACCCAGACTATAGGTTCTATCGAAGGATTAGGAACTTTGAAGTGGAGATTGCACTTAAGAAGATGAAATCAAATAAGGCTTTAGGACCCAATGATATCCCTATTGAAGTTTGGAAGTGTTTGGATAAAAAAGGAATTACTTGGTTGACTAAGTTGTTTAGCAAAATTTTGTTGACTAGGAACATGCCAGATGAGTGGAGGAAGAGTATTTTAGCGCCAATCTATAAGAATAAAGGAGATGTCTAGAATTGCAACAACTATAGAAAAATCAAACTAATGTGTCATATAATGAAAATGTGGAGAGGGTGATGAAACGCCGATTGCGAGACGTAACAGAAGTGTCAGAGAATCAATTTGGATTTATGCCTAGCAGGTCAACAATGGAAACGATCTATCTTTTGAGGAGAGTAATAGAAAAGTATTGAGAAAAGAAAAGAGATATTCATATGGTGTTTATCAACCTTGAGAAAACATATAATAGATTGCCTCGGGATATAATATGGTGGGTGTTAGAGAAGAAATGAGTGACAAAATATTACATTAATGTGATTAGGGACATGTATGAAGGGGTGGTAACCACTATTAGATCGCCTGCTGAAGAGACAAATGAATTTTCTATTACTGTAGGGTTACACCAAGGATCTACCTTAAGTCCTTATCTCTTTGCTTGAGTTATGGATGAGTTGACGAGAAATATTTAGGATGACGTGCCATGGCGTATGCTTTTTGCAAATGATATCGTGTTAGTTGATGAGACTAAAGAAGGAGTTAACACAAAGTTGGAGATTTGGAAAAAAGCACTTGAATCTAAAGGATTTCGAATAAGCATAACTAAAACAGAGTACATGGAGTTTAAATTTAGTAATAGTAATAATGAAAGCAAAGGAGAATTGAAGCTTGAGAACTAAGAACTACCTAAAAATGAACATTTTCGTTATTTAGGGTATATTACCACAACGGCGGGGGAGATTGATGCGGATGTGGCTCATAGGCTTAAGGCAGGATTGCTTAAGTGGAGAAGTGCATCTAGGGTACTGTGCGATAAACGAATACCCACTGGACTAAAAGGAATGTTCCATAGAAGGGCTATTAGACTAGCAATGTTGTATGGGACGGAGCATTGGACAACCAAGAAACAATATATAGATAAGATGAGTGTTTCTGAGGATGCTAAGATGGATGTACGGTAAAACTAGACAAGACAGAATTAGAAATGAGTGTATTCGAGAATAGGTAGAAGTAGTACCGATAGAAGATAAGTTGAGAGAGAATCGATTGAGATGGTTTGGTTGTATTCAACGAAGACTAACAGAGGGAGTAGTGAAGAGATGCGATACAATGACGGTAGATAGAAGTGTTAGGGGATCGGGTAGGCCTTGATTAATGTTGGCTAGCATTGTAAATAGACATATGGCTCTGCTTAATTTGACTATAGCTTTTGATAGAGCCGCGTGGAAAAGGAGGATTCATATAGCCGACCCCATTTGATGGGACTTAAATCTTGGTTTGGTTTGGTTTGGTTTGGTAAAAGTCCCATTTTAAATTGCTATCATAACCTAAGTATACCCTTAATAACATAAGATGCACGTCTAAAAAGTTATCTACCAAAGGAATTGCACACCTATGGCATTAATGCGACAGTCTTTTAAACTTTAAAATATTGTAGTTTTCATTTTACAGATTCATTTTCAAAATATTATATTTTTTTAACCTTCTTGTCGAGATATATCAAAAAGATCCATATTGAATATAAACTTATGTAAAAATAAAAGAGTAATTTTTTTGTGAGCCTCTTGTAAGGACCATTATTAGAAGTATAGTCCTTGATCTTTATTGTATAATTAATAATTGTGTCTCATGTTCTATTGTGTATACAAAGGGGAATTGGCTTGAAAGGTACTGTAAGAGCTCTTATTGTGGTTATCACTCATCATACTTCTCAATATTGTTCAAAAGATTTACACAGCCATGTTTTTCATGAACCTTTTCCAAATTTGAACCAATTTTTTAAAAAAAATTGGATCGTTTACTCTAACAGAACCTAAGAAGTAAAAAAATATTGGACACAAATTACAATTAAAAAAAAAAGTTCAAAAGATCAAAACAAATAAATAAAATTTAAATAAACAAATAAGTAGCTACAAAAGTATTTGCCAAACCTCCACTAAGTCTCACCATAAATTTTTAAACAATTAAAGTACCATTTTAAAAACTGATAAAATTCCTCAATTTTCTTGTGAAAAAAAAAAACACACAGTAAATATATATAAACAAGATGGCAAGAGGGGTTTCCGATTGTGAGGGTGCCAAAGGAGTGATGGGAAGTACAATATTAGTGTGAAGGGTAATTTCAGGATATAGAAACAAATGGGACTGGATGAGTTAAGATATCTTTGATAGGAAAAGCTCAAATAAGTCCATAAAAAGGGCCTGAGGCCAAATCTCTCAATAAAAAATAATAAAATCAGAACCAAATCACATGCACTAAACAAACCTGTATAGTCCCTGAATCATCCCTTAAAGTCAAAAAAGCAAGCTTTCCAAAAGCCCTACGAGCCACAATCCTTCCTGCAACAGATACGAAATCACTCTCACAATTTGATTCTTCACCACTGCTCAGATGCCTATATATATCTTGCAGTTGATTAGTAGTATGAGTCCTTTCCCACTTATAAGCGTAGGGCTCAAAGCCCCTGATCCTCAATTCTTCAACCTGCAAAACAAATGCGTTACTTTTCTATGATGCCATTGCAACTCAAACAATCAATAACCCTAATGGTTATTTTGGGGATAGTAATCCTAAGCTACTTTTTCTGACCCTTTTGCAGTTACAACTAAGACAAATCATGATATTGTGAATATTTTGTACATTTCCTTTAAAAAAAAACTGCAGAAAAATTCTCAATGAAATTGAAGCTATGAGTGTGAATTCAAACAAGTACCTAAGAATTCACAGTATCTAGACTGTAATCGGAATAATTGGTCTATAATTGTGATAACACACTTTGTCGAAATGAGTGAGATTGGTAGCTGCCTGATGTAATCCAAATATTCAAAAAATGAAAATGTTACTACTAGTGTGATGCACTGATTCAACCTTCTAAAGCTGTGTTTGGGTCATGGATTTTGGAAGGGATTTGAATAGAGAAAGAGAAAAAAATGTATGAAATGTAGTTATATTTCATTCACATTTCACCATCTTTTTCATTTTCTTTTCCAAATCCGTACCGGAACCAGTGAACCAAACACAGCATAAATGACGCTGCTTTTTTAACTTGTTTGCAAAACACTGGTGGAAGGTAGCATCATTTTCAAAATAATACACAAAACTTGCGTAAAGGCAGACGGGTAGGTGCACTGAAATGCCAACACATTGAGAAAAGCTCACTCTTCTGATTCTGATTAAACAGCAGAGGGAAGGGTTTTTCATTTCTTTAATCTTGATTTTCTAACTTGATAATAAAAAGATTGCGCACTTTTCATGATTGCGGCCTCTTCTCCCAGTGTTGAATTTCTTAAAACACTGTTGTAAGTATAGTACCGTGTTACTAAAATTTCAAAAACTGATAACCTAAATTGACAATTGCATTGCATTGCATTGCTACATATCTCAAAATCCAATACACAATTATTATTATTATTGTTGTAGTAGTTGTTTAGTTAGAGAGAGAGAGAGAGAGAGAGAGAGAGAATTGAATTGAATTGCGACAATATTATTAGTTATTTTTACTACCTTCTTGAGACGGATAGCGCGAACGGCGTCTCTGTCGGATGTGGAAGACGACGGCGATGAAGTGGAGGACCTCCGGTTGCGGCCGCCGACTCTGGTGGTGGCCGTGGTGGAGGAGGAAGAGGAGGATGAAGAGGTGCAGCAGCGAACGATGAACCTGGATGAGGAGGAGGAGGAGGAGGAGGAGGAGAAGGAATAGGATGTTCTTCTAATGGTGGTGGAAGAAGAAGCAGAGGCCAAGTTGATGAGGTGCTTCCATGGCTGAGATGAAACGCTCAGTACCTTCAACGCCTCCATCTTTCCCTCTATCCACCCTTGAGCCACCCAACTCTCATCAAATCCTTTGCCAAAATTACCAACAAAATAAAAAGGTTAACTTACACTCATCTCCCTTGAAGTTTGTTAAAATTACAGACACCTCCCCCTGAGTTTTCTGAAATTACACTGGCTTTTTGAGATAATCCTATTTCCACGCCGTCCGCGCACATCTCTTCTCAAAACAAACACTTAATGATTTTCAATTGAGTAATACTATTAACACCCAATTTATTATTTTTGACATCTTATTTTTTTAAAATCCCACTTATAAATTTTAAAACTCTTAAAATTTCTTTTATCCTCTAAAATAATATCAAAAATATACTTGTCAAAAAACCACACCCACTAAAATACACGCCCTCACACCCTTAAAAATTCATATTTTCAGAACAAAAAGTGTCGAACATATAAATAATGTTTGGTTATTTGTTCTCGAACAAATAAGTAATGTTTGGACCTGTGTTCTCCGAATTTTATTCATATGTTCGAGAGTTCAGTACTAAAAAAAAATATGAGTTTTCACCATTTTTGCCATATTTTTCAAGAAACTTACCTTTACAACGTCAACCTCTATCGAGCTGAGAACACCATCAAAGTTCTGAATCTCTTCTAAACTTACATTGTTGTATTCATCTCGTCTTATGAAGTTATAGTTGCCGGAAAAACTTTTACTCAATCGAATTATTGGTCACCATTGTCGTCAGAATATCACCGCCGAATGGTGTAGGTTTTGATGGTAGCACTTGGAGAAGATGAATGAATTGTGATGGAGGTGGGTGCTCTTATAAATTATATCTCATTATTTAGTGGGTATAAAGGCTTAATTATGAGATGGTGTGTTCCAAAATTATTAATATTCTTTTCATTAATTTCATTTAAAGTTATTATTGTAATAAAAAAAAGTCAAAAAATGAATGGTCCAAAATAACAAATGGGTCTAATAACAACACTTTTTTCAAATATGAAGTTTTGCTCAATACACATCATTCATTGTCAAAAACACCTCTAACTCCTTCAAACCTTCAAACCTAACCTTACCCTACCACTCGCCAGCACTACCACCGCCATAAACCAGTATGAACTCTGGCTACCATTATTAACCTCTCATCTCACATTCACTGCTACCACCATCTTTGATGACCCCCATTAACCCTTCTCCACCATTCTCTTTACACTTTTGTCCCTACCCAATCATCTCTAATACGCTCTCCGTAATCCTTATCGTTCGCAACTCCCTCACGTACAGCACACTAACCTTCTCCACACTCCGACGACTACGATATAGAAAGATTTACATAGAGAGAGATCATGTGACTAGGGTTTTGAAATAAATTGAGATTAACGGCGACTAAGGTTTTAAAGAGAGAAATCGTGGTGGCTAGGGTATCATAGAGAGAGAGAGAGAGAGGGGTTGTAACTATGATTTTGACATAATGAAGGGTTGGTTGTTACGAAGGTACTGAAGAGAGGCTGCGAACAGAATGAAGGGTTGGTTGTTACGAAGGTGCTAAAGAGAGGCTGCAAACTGAGTTTACAATAGTAAGAAGCTCGTGGCAATGGTCGAAAGCTTATTTGTTTTTTTTAAGTAGTCAATCATTTTAGCTTAAAAGTTAAAAATCACTGAAAACCTATACACAGAGGAAATCATGTGGTCTGTGGCAGAAGAGAAGTAAAATGACATTTTTACCCCTTATTTATGTCAAAACTTGCAACTGATGGACTGATATCACAGACTCTGAACTGAAACCTGGTTACATCAAACAAGATGAATAAAGAGAGGTCTGGACTTAGTTCTCGTTCTAGGCAACACCACCACACTAGCTTTGAAAGGAATAACAAGCAACCGACGAAAATAGTCGGTGAAGGATAACAAAAATGTACTCGGTCCTCCGACGAACGCCCCCACCGCAGCTTTGCACTTCTTCACTCCGATGTACCCACACGTTTTTCGATCGACAATTTCCAGGTTCTGTTTCAATTTTTTTTTTAAATCTTTCTGAAATTAAAAAAATAGACTAGTTGAAAAGTCATTTGGTGACTATTGGTGAGGCTGCAAACATGGTAAATCGAGTGCATTCCCAGATGCGTGGGTTACAAAAATGTTACCCACTATCTTTGTGTTTTGGGCATTAATTTGATTTCATAATTTTTTTTTCTCTTGAATCTACACTTGCAGCTTGTTTGTTGTGTTACAAATGTGATTTTTTATGATATGGTGAAGTCATATATATTTTAGTTATTTGAAATGGCAGATCTAGGGTTCATTTTGGGGTGATTTAGTTGATAAAAGGATTATATATTTTAAATGCAATACTTTGATACAAATCTGTGATTGTGGAATAGAAAAAAAATTTCTCATTTATAGTTTTTTGGCATCAATTTTGCCTTGATTTTCTACCTGACAAATTTGTGTTCATTTCCCCACTGTTCCATTTTCGATGACTTTAATTTTTTTATTTTCATAAACTACTGTCGAAGGTTGTGCAAGTTGTAGACAAGCCCGCGGGGGGGGCCTCGCTACAGCTCGGACTCGACTTTCGCAGTCACGGTTCTAAATCTGAACCAAAGAGTCCAAATCCGGCAAATCGTTTTAGGAAAACTGATTTTTGAAAGAAGTGCCAAACATGGACTGCTTTGCCAGAAAGGTCGGTCAAAAATGGGGTGTCTACACAAGTTTTGAAGGGCACAGGACTCTTAATCCAATATAACCTCTCCTATTCCATTGAAATGGACATAAAATTGGACAAAAAAATTATTGTGATTTCTTTTGGGGCTGTCACTATATCATTTAGTTGTATTGTTTTAATTTTGTAACTCCAAAATCTTTTGTTATACAGTCCATAGTACACACAAAGTTTGGTGCACCTTTTTGGCTAAATTTTTTGGTTGTTTCTGTTCTTACCCTGTTTTCACTACATCAAATTTTCTGTTTATGTTCATACAGTCCATAGTAATATATAAACTATTGTCGAAGGTTTTGCAAATTTGTCACTACTTGTTTAGGTTGTTGTTTAATTTTTTGGTGTTGTTTTTGGCATGAAATTCTTTAATGTTTTTGAAAAGGATCTCCACTTATTGGTTACCATCTCTTGTCTTTTGACAATGGTTGTTTGACAAAATGGCTATAGGCTGGGATTTACATGTTCTGTGGGAGGGGTCTTTTTTTTCTTTTGATACCTTGTTTTGTATAAGGATCTTTGTGGGTACTTGTATCAAGCTCAATATGTGGTAAGCCCTACAGGTGCCACATCACCAAAACCCCACGCACGTGGCAGACCAATAAGGCACCACGTCGGGCATGTCGTATGTTTATTACATGGCGAGCCCTACGGGCGTCATGTGCCAAGGCAGCCAAGACTATATGCTTAGCCTAAGCGGGAGCATACATATAAGCCCAAATATATCTAGATATGAAGAGCCCTGCAACAGGCAGCACCATGGCCCCAGGGCCCATGGTCCTTCATACCTCGCTCCAAGGCCAAACAACAATACAATCAGCTCCCGGCTCACTTGGACTTGGATTGATAAACAATGGCTCTCCTAAACATTGAGATAGGCCGCGGCCTAACCTCCTACTTGGTCGCTTGGAGGCGAGCCCCTGGCTCTCTTAAACACTAAGGTGGGCCCCGACCCATTTATCTACTTGGATGCCTAGGTTGGGAGCAGGACCCAGGCACTACTGCTCGGGATCATCAGAGGATACTGGACTGGCGGCTGAGGTCATGGGATCGTCGAGATGTTTGTCTTCTTGCTAAGACAACTCCATCTCGACCAGGCTTGGAGAAGAGGCAACAATGCCCTTACGTTCATGTCATCCGATGCATATACGAAACGTTACTTTCTGCCTGCCACGAAACAATAAAAACGGGATTAGACCTCCTAATAGTTTGTATGTTCATTGCACACCCTGCATATTTAATGCACTTGTAACCCAGCTATGAGAAACCCCGAAGGAAAATAACTGCTCTAGAAACCACCTACATGTGTTGCTAAAAAAAAAATATCATATCCAACACTCCATTGTTCATCTTGAACTGTGGTTTCTGAAGAAATAAACAAAAATCTTCAGTCAAGAGTAGTTAACATTGAACACATGTCATGATCACCCCATAACAACAAAACAATGTGCAGTAAGTATATGCACTCAATGATCCAATAAGGGTTGGTCAGTTGAGTCATTAACACATGATATTTTGCTAAAAATTAAAAAGAAAAAGAAAAAACAATAGAGAAGTGGAAAAAAGAAAAATGTGCTACCAACTAAAAGTTGCAAGCCATGATCAATGCATATATCCATAAATTGTTCTTTATTCCTGGGATACCCTACCCAAGTGAGAAACCAATAACTAGCTATAGCGACATCCCAAGGTGGCGGTAGGGAGACCCCGGCAGAGACCTCGGAACACAATTCTGGCGGCTCTCCAGAAGAACAATCCTCCCAATCGGTCATAGCGGACCAACTACGTGCGTTGACTGAGAGCGTCACTTCTCTTCAACAGAACCAACAACTCTTAATGGACGCCCTACTAGCCTTACAAAGGGCACCTACAGTTCCATCGTCATCTAACCCTCTTTCAGCATCACAAAATGGTGCTCCGCCATTAGCCCAGAATGGCTCGGAGGCCAACCTCGCTACTTCTCTTCAACAGAACCAACAACTCTTAATGGACTCCCTACTAGCCTTACAAAGGGCACCTACAGTTCCATCGTCGTCCAACCCTCTTTCAGCATCACAAAATGGTGCTCCGCCATTAGCCCAGAATGGCTCGGAGGCCAACCTCGCTACTTCTCTTCAACAGAACCAACAACTCTTAATGGACGCCCTACTAGCCTTACAAAGGGCACCTGCAGTTCCATTGTTGTCCAACCCTCTTTCAACATCACAAAATGGTGCTCCGCCATTAGCCCAGAATGGCTCGGAGGCCAACCTCGCTACGCAAAACAACTTGCAAACCCAAACGGGACGACAAACGGTCACCCCGCTCCCTCCGTCAGCTCCCAGCCAAATACCCCCACCACAAGTTGGATCCGTTAGCGGAG